GCGCAGCGTGGCAGTGCCATCAAAAGATCAAAATTCATGGCATGCTGCTGGGCTTGTCTTGGTAGAAGTGATGGGAAAGAGGGGCAGAAAGCGCGCGCTGCATGTGGTGAGGCATCTTTGTGCAAGCTGAAGGACCTGTAGCGCACAGGCCGTGGAGTTGCCTTGATTTGCGCTGTGTTGAGCGTGGTGCCACGTAGTTGGCACGTTTTCCAGTCTCTCTAAACGGACGGCTTCGGATGCACGTGCGCAGACGGCCTCTCCCTGTCGTGAAAGAAGGACTGGTCCTTGCATCGAAATAGGAGGAGGAGGGGCATGCTGCAAGCTCGAGGTATCTGGGCAGTTTCCTGGATTGCCGGTCGAGAAGTGCCTTCGGCACTTTCCAACCCCCTTACCCTTGATCCAACGGAGATGGTGGGGTCCATGTCATGGTTGGAAACTTGCGCGGGGAGAAAGGGGGTTCTGATTTAGAGAGCCGAAGCAGATCCGCTCGACAGTCGGAAACTTGCCTGTGGACGAGGCGATGTACGCCATCCTTGTGAAGATTCTCTTTTGAGCTCTGATCGTCCATTGAAATCCAAGACTCGCCTTTCCTCTACATGGATCAAGGTGAGGGCTGTTGTCCTAGCAGCCTGACCATCGTACTTCCCACTGCGGCATGAAGGATCGCTTCCGGCCTAACACTTTGTTTTGGCGCCAGCTCCAAGCAGCGACAATTTCCAGTCATTGCGGCGTCTTTGTTTTCGCCTCGTCTCAGCGAAAGCTGCTCGATTCATCGGATTGCCATGGGACCTTCGAGGCGTGATCCTCGAGTTCACGCCTGCATTGCGTTCAATTGGGATTCACGGAAATTCACGGAGCACGTCTGCAGGAAGCATCTGCAGCGTCACGTTCTTACGGTTCTTACGCCTAGTCGGATGCTGAGCAGATGCTGAAGCTTTCGACTTGACTGGTGCGCCAAGCTGCAGATTCTGAGTGCCACACAAAAACACGCCCGGCCTAAATTAAAGCTTCATTTGTCTATGGCTTAAAGCTCGCCCCATTTAAAGCCGAAGTCCATCATGTTTGTCTCGGGACAAACACAAGTCTGCGTTGCTGAATCTGCAGACGTGTGCGTCGCAAGCAATATAAGACTGTAGTGAGACCTTCCGATCTGTGGCAGGAAGCCTCAGAGCTTTCAGAGTTCGTGAGCAGGTTGCCTGAGCTGAGACTGGTTTGCCGTGCCTGTCAGAGTCCCGGAAGGGTCCAAAAGCGGCCACGCGACCCTACCTTCGTCGCTGTGTTCTTTCTTCACCTCCCCTTTCCGCCACTTCCGACGATCCAACAGGATGCTCCCAACGAGCGCAACGAGCACAGCCAAATCTTCGAGATGGTTTGCAGATCCTTGCGCTTCATGAAGCATCTTGCGCAGGCAACGGTCACATGCCCCCACCTGGTGTTACGACCCTCCAAGCTGTGTTCGAGTGGACGGGCGGTTGAGGCAGCTCGTGCCTGCCATGTTGCTGCATGTGGCAATCCTGGTGCTGCCTCTGCTGTAGAAACAACACATCTGAATGTCAGGTGTCGACATGGTCGACCTGCCGAGCTGGCATCCTACTGAGCTCAATACCTCACTATCACTACCACTTGGGCGCCTAAGCTCCTGAGCTCTTTGCGGCTCTTTGCGGTTCATTCTTCTTCTCTGGGAGCTTGTGGCCCATTTTGGGGAGCCAACGCTTGGGTCGCCACACCCTTGAGGCTTGGTGGCTTCGTGCGCTTGCAAGTAGCTTCTGCCGGAAGCTTATGCCCAGATGGAAGTCACAAGCACGCCCAAGGCCGTCCCAGCTGCCATAGTATGCCGTAGGTAAGTGCAGCAACTTAGCGCATCAACAGCCCCGCAATTTCCGTCCGGACCACAGCCTCTGGGCTTAGGGAGCCTTCCCATCGTGACGTTTTTGCACGCCCACCCAAAAGAGCTATGATGCTTGTATGGGATCCTCACAAACTGGCCTGAGTTCCTTCCCCCCCTCATAAAACGAGAGGGCATATTTCAGAAAGCGCATGTCAGGAGTTGTTGAGGATTCAGAGCAGGCCCTGTTGATGGCCAAGGCGTCGCTGGCCTTGGCACGTAGCGCTCTGACTGGCAGCGTTTAGCTGTGGCCTGAGGCTGCGCGGGCCCCGCGCGCTTGAAACTCGATGTTGCCCTAGGGATCCTGACGTCAACTGCGTTGCGACGTGCAACTGCAGAGCCACGGCTGCCAGTGGGGGTGCGGGTCTCTGCGCTGATGCCTGCCGTTGCGCTTGTTGCACCCCCGTTCGGCCTGCTGGCGTCGGTTTCAGGTTTCGCTGTTTACGGCGGTGGCCTGGCCGTCTCCATTCACCACATTCGCCCGTCGTTGGCTTCCCCAGACGGCTCGCTGCAAAAGACAGTTCACGAGGCTGCCCCCCAAAGGGACCACAACTCCAGGGGGCCTTTATTGGAAGGGGCACTTAAAGCTCAGGGCTTGTTGCTGCTTGGTCCTAAGCTTGATGACGTCATCTGCACGATGCCCATCGCCTGTCAAAGTGCTTGACCTGGCACCATAAGACATGTTCGACAAGCTGGCAGACGAAAGAGCGGTGAAGCGCTTCTTGCGTGCCTGGGGTGTAAACGCTCATTTGCCCATGTAAGTATTGTCAAAGAATGGGGAGGAGGAGGAGAAGTAAGGCAAGAAAAGGCGGTTCTCTGTGTTGTGAGAACGAAGGTCACCAAATCTCCGCTCTGACCGAAACACGCGGCCTCTCCTGGGCCTCAACGGCGGCGACCGCTCTCTCCTGACCCTCTCCTGTTGAAACCCCGACAGAGACCAAAAAAGTGTCTCCCTGGGTCGCTTCCGTTTTGCTTCACGGCGCGAGGCATCAGAGTCTGGGAGCCGGCAAGAGCCGTGCAAAGGGTGCAAAGGGTGACTCCTTGGTCTCCTGTTGGCACCTTGTGCGAAGCGCGAGGCTTGCTGGGAAGGCTTCCGGCGGCACGTGCCGTAGTTCTATGAACTTCAGCCTTCAGCAACTCGCGGTCATGTCAGCATATTCCATCACTAGTAGCCGCTGCCTCGCGCTACGCACCTTGCTCGCATTGCGCGCGCCTTGCTCTGGTTCTGGGACAGAGTCGAGACTAGCTCGGCCGAGGGTTTTTTCCAACGTGATCCTGGAGGCTTGCCGCCAAAGCGTCTTCGCCTCTTATGCTCTTTTGGATCATTCCCGATTTCTTCCCTCTCGTTCGCTTTCGTCGCCGAGCCATCGCCATCTCACGCTTTTCTGTTTCTTTCGCGCTGCTGGCAGAGCAGCGTGCGCGCGTCTCTGTGTGTTCAGATGAATATAGGGCAAGGACTTCATCGTGCAATTGGCGCGCGAAAGCTGCATCATTTCCTCCCAGCAGTGTCTTGTGGTGTGATGGGCCCTGGGATTCCGGGGATGTGAGCATCAGGTCTGAAACTGGGCTCCCCCCAAAGATAAGTTGAGACTTTGATTGAAGTCATCATTGATGCCCTTTTCTGGGCCTTAACGGATCTTCCAGATGTGAGGCGCGGCTCAGGCAGAGGGGTGGGCAGAGGGGCAGAAAGGGGCATAATGGGGCATAACCCAATCTGCAAGCTGCCGTAGAGCTGCGTAGAGCTACGTCCCGAAGTTCCTCCAGCCACGGCCTTGCCAGGCGCTGCAAAGCCTCGCCAGCTTCGCCTTTTCGAGCATTTGCTGAGACCGGGCTGCCCGGGCTGTGCTGGCTGGAGCTGAATGAGCTGAATGCCTCTCGCATCTCTTCGTTGTTGCCTTGCTGAAGCGCACGTGGCCTGTTCTAGGCCTATAGGCCGCGAGTCGTACGGAGCGACTGAGACTGGCTTCAGCCTAAGACATCTCAAGCTGTTGCCTTCAGACGCACTCCGATTTAGTCCAAGCTTCATGCTGGTCCAACCACCTTGATAGCAACGCGGACGCCGACATACAGACGCACTCGCGCACTCGCGCACTCGCTCGCCCGCCCGCCCGCCTCTCTCACTCCGACTCACACTCGCACACAAGTAGACCACTGGCAGCAGGTCTGCATTGTGCCGGCTTTGAAGAGATGAATCTGAACATGAGAGAGAAGCGTGTACGGCAGCAAAGAAGCGTGGACTGGGGAGTGAGAATGGTTTTTCCGTAAGTACCGCTTTGGACGTGTCTTGATCACCAGTACTTTAAGCTTCCGTCGCTGTGCGCTGGAGTCTTTGTCTCAGCGTTATGGGCCTGTGATGTGAGAGCTAGAGTGCGAGCTGCGGGTGCCAGGTGCTGCAGTGGTGCACAGAATTAGTCGCCATGCTGCCAGCAGGCCTTTCGAAGAAGAGTTCAGGAAGGAGTCAGAGCTGTCCGTGCTTGGTGATGTTTGCTCAGGGTTCTCGAATTCGGCTACGCCCCGACCTGTAGAGCGACAGCTGCGCTGCATGTCGCGGGCTTCTGTCCGACGCCGGGATGTGCTATGGAGGCTCATCGCGCATGTGCCGCATGCCTTATCTGCCTCGTCTGCCTCATCTGCCTCGCCCACACCTCTCAATCTCACATCATTGCCGGAGAATGGTAAAGCATGGTTGTCGGAGCGTTCCATGAACCGTGCACAAGCACCCCACTGGAGCCCTTTTACATGGCTCCTAAAGACCTTGTAGGCTCCGTCAGCTCTGACCGTCCCAGATGTGTAGGTGTGTGCAGAAAGCTACTTGAAAGCTACTGCAGATGTCTTCCCCAGTTGATGGCTCATGCTTCTGCGGTTCGTAGTATGGGGTGTGGGGAATGCTTCGGGGAATGCTTCGGGGAGCCTCCGTGCATCAAGCTAGGAATGCTCACGGCGCCTCGGTGTGTTGCTGCCTCCGGTCACTGGGCTGCCCAGGACGCGCCGTGAGTGCGTGAGTTTCCCTTTGCCCTGAAAAAGGCTGGCTTTTGAAGTTCTGAAGTACTGAGCCCTAAATCCGTCCAATTAGAAGCCCTTGGCGTCCTCAGGGTGTCCACTAAAAGCCTTCGATTTAGAGCTGAGCCCGAGGCATAAACTCGAGGTGAGCTTTTGGGTCGGCAACATCCCAGCGCCTCTGTCTGTGAACGCCGATGCAGGTGGTCTTGATCAGCAGCTCTTCCTGCTGCCGCGCGCGCGGTGCCTTCCAGGCATTGATGACTTGCCGCCACAGCTCCTCATCCGCGCCAGTCATCTGATCATCAACCGTCAACTCCAAGCATGCTGCCTTTCTGGCTGCAGGTGCCCGGCCAAGCTCAGCCCCACCACACACCCCGCGTTCCTGCATTTCCTGCATTTCCTGCACCTTGTGCCGGGCCTTGCGAGCTGTGCGGGCCTTGCAAGCTGTCGCCTCAGAGGCTCCACGCTCTGGGCTTTGTTCCAGAAGGCCTGCTTCAGCGTTGCAGGCGCACCAGCTAGCAACTGGGATCTTCAGTGCTTTGCGTGCTCTGCGTGATCCGCGATGGTCAGTGCCGGCCTCGGCACACTGGTCTGGAGAAGCACACGCTGCAGGCAGGTGGGGTGCGCCGGAGTCTTTCGTGGGTCCGAGTGCCCCTGAGATTGGACTACCTGCAGGCCACATGAGCGACTGGCTAAGTCCCACGCCTCTCTAGGTAGCTTCGGGCGAGACATAGTGCTGCAGAAGCGAGACCTAACCCCAAAAGCAATACCCCCGGATGTCATCGTTTTGCTCGAGAAAGCGATACCTAGACCTAGCCCCAAAAGCGAGAACCTCAATGAAATGTCTCAGTCGGGGCCTCTGGGTTTTGCTGCGCGCTCACCTTCACACAGACAATCTGACGTTGGACTGAAAGTCTTGCGTGAAGCCTCCGCTCAACTCCTGATCGCAAGCCTTCCGCGCTACGGTCTCCGCGCCTGCAAGTTGCGACCAGAACCACATGCGCGCAGCTCCTGCCTAAGTTGATGCCGTTTGTGCTGCACCTCTTTCAACAGAAGTTGCAGCTGGCGCGGCCTTAAAAATTCAGGGGTGTTTTTTCGGCAGCAGCTGCTCCAGTGTAGCGCACTTCGCTGTGTAGTCCAACGTCGGGCATGCCGGCAGAAGTGGTGATCTCACGCGTCGGACTTCGGTGCTGCACACGGGACACGGCGCTTGCGACATCTTGCAGCCAAGTGTGGCCTGCACCTGTTGAGGCCGGTTTGTACTCCTGGCGAGTTTTTTGCGCTGTGGCACTTCCTTCCCCGTGGCGAAGTTGGGCCTGTGGAGGCTCGTGGCACATCGTAGCTTTCAGCAATGGACCATGTCGATTCCACGTGCTGCCAAGCTCCTCCGGCAAATGCCTCGTCTTTGGTGGCGTCTGATGATTAGACTTGCTACCTGCAGGTTGTACTCTGCAACTGGACATTTTCGGGTCAGGACTGAGATCATCAGCCTCATGCACGACATGGGGCTGCTCAGCTGTGTCCCGATGCGTCGAAACGGTTCACGATCACCAAACCACCTGAACTCCGGCAAGACGACCGAGTCGCCAGAGGTTTGAGGCTCCCTTCGCCTGTTAGAACTTGAAGCGGAGGCAATTTTTATATGCGAGATGAAGTCAACATAAGTCAACAAGTACATGTAAGTGCATCGCAAGCCACACTGATCGCTGCACAGGCGGGCAATGCAGCAGCTGAGCCATGAGAGAAGTGCATTCAGTGCATTGAGTGCATGTCACTGCATGTCACAGGGTTTTCTTTAATCTCTCCCAGGCCGGGGTTGGGGGCCCGCGTCCGATCCGGGGGGCCCGACTGGGGCCGGCGTCCGACCCTCACTGCATCGCGCTGCCTTCGACACAGGCATCGTCGAAGCATCGGCATCGTGCATAGTACTCAGAACCTGCGCATATCGCACGCGTGGAAAGGACACGTATACCTCGAATGTGAGGCTAGATCCTCTGAGAACAACGCATTCTTGAACATCGCTGAAATGCACGAGACCGACCGCGAGCCCGGCCACTGTCGCGATGGAAGCTACCCAAGGTAGCCCCTCTCCTGAGGGTCTTCACCCTTAATCTCCAGCATCCGTGATGGCGGTCGCCATGCCGACCCAAAGGTGGAGCGTGCGACTCCTGTCACGCGGGAGACTCTGCTTCTGTCGTGCAGCGCGAGCGTGCACATGCCATCACATGCCTGCAGACCAGCACAGCAAAGAACCCTTTCGCCACGAGAGCATGCTGTGTTCTGGTTCCTTGTAGTTCTTGCTCTTCGGACCCCTCGCGGTTCCGCCCGTAAGGCACCTGGCATTGGTCACAGTGGAAGCAGATGACGCGAGCTGACCTGTTGAAAGCCCTGCAGGCGTGTAGCTGCCTACAAGGTGTAGCCACCGGTGTAGCTGCTGGCACGTGTTGTCAAAGTCGCGCTTGTGTGTCACTGGCTCTGTCCAGGATTTATCTTCTCAGCTTTTGATTCAGACGTTGCGGAGATGGCTGGCACAGCCCAGGCTGCCCAGGCTGGCGCACTGCTCGGTTTCTCTCGGTGCGTGTTGCCTTTCTCTCGTGACACTCTCTATTACTTCGAGTTTCGGCTACAAGGGACTCCTTCAGGCTGGGCCGGCTGGGCTGAAGCTGCATTGATATCGTGTGACAACGCAGCTCACGTCGTGGCGAGTTAATCCTTTTGGTGCAGCACTGGCGTCGCACACAGACCAGCAGGGTCTTTGAGACCCTCACAATCTCGCCCGTGGGGACCTGCTTGCCTGCAGCTTGCCTGGCCCGCCTGTCGCTGTGGATGGCGCTTGCTGCAAGAACTTGGGCGAGGCAAAGGACACAGGGATAGGATCCACAACCCAGCAGGTCGTGGAGGCCCTGCACCAGAGCATCACGCCAATTGTCGTCTGCGCTTTGTTGGTTACAGTCGCACTGAGCCACTCAGCAGGGCGACGCGAAGAGCCCGTGCTCCTCTTGGCAGTCAGGGCGGCTTGACCACTATGGCACGAACCATTTGCCTTTGAGCAGAGATCAAAGCCTCAAGCGTGCACAACAATTATTTCGTTGGAGGCGCAATCCTGCCAGGATGCTTCGTGTTGGTGAGCTACGAAGGTCTTCGTCTGTTGCATCTCTTGAAGCGGCTGCGCTCTGGCAAGCCGCCTTGTTGAGTGTCTGATTGCGAATGCCTGCTGCCCACGAGTGGTCCTGTAGGCGCCATAACAACTAGCGTGGTTTCTTCCTGTGGCGGGCTTTGTACCAATCGCGCAGCGCGAGCCCAACAGCTTCGTGTAGTGGGAGAACCCCCTGTGGCCCCTACAATTGCCCAGGCTTTGCTTCACCTGCAACGCCAACGGCTGCGATGCGGACGCATGATGCAGATGTCCGGACACGTACTTGGCGTTTGCGGGCGGAATGCCGATGGGTCTCTGACGGAAGCCGCAGCTTACGACCCGATCCTGCTGCAGCCTCTGCACTAGTCGAAAAAACGATGTGACATGTCGGGCCTCGACTGCATCTGCCCACTTCTGCCAGAGCCAGGCAACGTCGTTGTGACATCATGGACGTTCTGACTATCGGACAAGACTCTAAGGCCGTGCTGAGATCAGACAACCTCTTCAGCCAAGTCTCACGCGCGCGGGATCTGACAACAGCACAAGTTGTCAGAAGTTCATTAAGAAGTGTGGCCTGACTCGCGTGGATGGCCTGAAGGTCAGCGTGGGCTCATGAGGCTTGTTCGGCTTGGAACAGTCTCGTCAGCTGCACAGCGCGGTCCTCACACACTCGGGCATTCGGCATTGCGGCCACGAGACCCCTCCGTCTCTTCGCCTCCACCAGGAGGACTCCACCAAGGCGCGACGTGCGCCCGCACACAGGCGCGGTGTGGTCCCGTGCCTCGTCGCTTCATTGCCAGGTGCACAGGTCCGTGCCTCCTCTCGCGCATGCCTCGCCATGCTGTTTGCAAGATTTTTCAGGAGGCTACACAGCCCTATAAAACCCTTTGTCCAAGGTGCAATCGGCGCTTCATGAAAAGAGGGAGCCGCCAACTGTCCAAATTCCCCCCATTAAGGGGAGTTCCGAGTGCCGATATCGGAAGCTTCGCCAAAGGGAACGGGGGGCCATCCTGTCCGTAAGGTTCTTAAGCTCGACCCTCAAGTCCATGCCCAGTCCTTGCGCAGCGTCGAGTTTCAGGCTGTTAAAATGAGTTTGTTCTCCCAAAAAGGGGAACAATGAAAAAAAGGTGCTTTGCTTCACCCAGGAAATCGCACACCGGCGCACCAGGTCAAGCTTTCGTCGTAGTGAAAGCCTGGACCTCAGCCTGATTCCCCTTCGTGTGCGAAAACCGGTCGCGAGGCCACGCGCCTCATATATCGTGCACTGTAAATCAGAGGTGCGTCTGACGATCGTATTTGCACAGTGTCCGTTCACCTTTTCCTCGAATTGCTTGGAGGGACCGGTCTGTGGCGATCAAGGCATCTAGAGTCGAGAGTCAAACAAAATTGCAGAAGCACTGGGTGCTTCTCGGTTTTGGTTTTGCCATGTTTTGCCCTTGCTTCAGCTCCAGACTGACAGGACAAGAAGCGGCTTGACTCTTCCTCGTAGATTCGGTAAAACTCGGTAAAACGTTGAAATCGAAGAAAACCTGGCGATTCCAGGCCCTGGCTCCTACAGCTCACGCCTCCAGCCTAAAGACTATGGAGACTCTCATGGGCTCGTTCTCAAGGAAGCGAGGCCCAAAATGAGGCAAAGAACAGGGCGCATGTGCGCCCACGTCTGAAGGGCAACTTCCCCAAGCTCCAATGCCGTCGGCTCTTCCTGAGCAGTCTAAGGGTCTTCTGACTTCAGCAGGCTTCAGGGCTTCAGGGGTTCGAGTCTCCTGAACACTGCGTGGAGTGCATTCCTTAAGTTGCCTTAAGCCCCTGAGACCCCGCATACAGAACTTGAGACTTTAGCTCCCATCGCTCTCAATCCCGTGCCCCGCATCTCTTGGTGAGAAAATCAGAGAGACTGATTCGCACACGTCGGGGGCATGTTCTATTGCGGAGAGAAGTCGCAGCAAAGGGCAGGGCGGCCTCTTAAATTAAAATCGCCGGCCTGCCGGCGGGTGCCGCGCCGGAGTGCGTCCACTGTAGCAGACGCCGTCGCTTGCGGTGGAGGTGCGGCGTTTTGACGGGGAGGCGTCTCCGCTTCTCGAGCCTACGTTGCAAGCGAGGAGCTCCGAAGAGTCGATTCAAAAAAATTTGGTTGTTCAAAAGCCTCTATAGGTCCTACCAGCAAGCGCTGACCAGTGCATCACGAAGTGCTCAGATAGTGCTATAGCACCCAGTGCTTCAGACACCGCAATCGCATGCTCCCCAGTCCCCGTGTGCTCTCTTAGAAGTTCTTCTCCTAGACAGTGCCAAGTCTCGAGGCCTCATCGCCTTGCTTGGGTTTGATTTTCGCGGCGCTGCCGGCACCGCTGGAAGCTTAGCCGGCAGCTGGAGTTTTTCGTTTCTGGAGATGGTGGGGAGGGAGTCTTTTGTCATTGGTCATGCCAGTGGCTCTGGTGCCTTACGACTCAGGGGACACAGGGGACTCAGACTCGAGATGCTCCAGGGACTTGGGGAGGAGGGCGCAGTCCTAAGTCCAACTGTGAGCGCTTCTCCCCTCTTTGTGCCTT